ATATATATATGTGAATAATATGATATAAAAGATAAATAATAGTGAACAAATAATAAATAAATATAAATAGATATAAATAAATATAAATATAAATAAACAAATAAAAAAAATGAATAAATAAATGAATAATAAATGCATAAAACAAAGTAAAATCAAAAAGATGAAAAGGAACCTTATCGGCGCTACTAGACTTTTCAGTTGAGCAGCTGCCGTTATCATTATCAGTTCCTTTCTCTGAGGTCTCGTCACTGTTACTGGTACTTTCATCTGTAACTTCGTCACTTCGCCGTTGTATAGCCTCTGGTGAAAGAGTAGCCAAGGGCTGTCTTTCGCATTTTGGTTTTTGCAAAGCTGCAATTGAAACAGTGCTCTCTTGCTTCTTTTCTTCCGATTGCAGCGGCGGAATAGTTCCCTACAAACAAGTGTTTTGGTCGTGTTGTTATAAAGTTCCAATTGGAGGATTTTTATACAATCACAATAATACAAACGCACACAAGCGCACACAAACGCACATACACGCGCGCACACACACACACACGCACACACACACAATACACACACACATCTACCATATGTAGATTATCATCGATGGTTTCCTCTTCCCATGTATCAGCAGTCCCAGTAAATTGCACAAAGACCCAAATGCACCACCTACATAATTTTTGCTGCACCTATTTATAAATATTTAATTCTACCAAATTTTCACTGTGTTTGTTTACGAATGTTTAAATTTAAAAATTTTGGAAAAGCTGAACCAACACCAATAATTGACAGCTCACAAATTTCTTATGTGCGATCCGGTCAGTCCGTGTTTCTTGCATTCCCTTTTTGTTTTTTCCCAGGCTTGTCTCTTTTTGGCTTTTAAAATTAAAACCGATTTTTTTATAAAAGTTATTTTATTTATTCTACCAACATTACAACCGTTTTAGTGACAAAGCCAGTTGTGGTAGTGAATAGGAATACATACGAAATGATGAGTCGAGTCGAAAAATTCCTGTGCATCTAATTCTTATGCGTTTTTGCTGTTTGGGCTATAGTACTGTTACAGTGAACAAAAACGCATATCAACGGACGTAGTGGTGGAGGTAATGTTTTTTAAACTTTTTTAACTTCCGACTTTTCAATTTTTTAACTTTCAGCTTTTCATTCTACTTTTTATTTTAGCATATTGCATGTTACCTACATTTCTGCTGCAACCGTCATACGGACGAGGTCCAGTTGCAGCACTGAATAGGAATGTATGCGACTTGATGGACCGAAACATTCCAGTTCAGATTTTATTTTTGTTTTTTACTTTATATTTTCCGTTTTCGTCTTTTTACAGTCTCTCATAATCATAAAATATCTAAATTTAAAATACTGTAGGGGGGTGTCCGCGTGCATGTGTTTGGATGCGAGTGAACTTTGTTACCGCTTTCAAATCAGGAACCAAGAAAGCTGAAAGGTTCGCCTTTGATCCGCCAAATTCAGCTGTCGCACACACTTGGACGGCTCGCAATTACGCCAAAGTTCGCAGTTGGCACGGTGCCAATTCGAAAACTAACGGGAAAGCAGTAACTGAGGTTCTTTTCAGAATATTTGTCCTCCATTTAGGAACTGCATATCTAAACTGATTTTCGATTTGCATCTGCGCCCCGACTTAGGGCATTTGAAAAATATTTTCGGCGAAGTGCCTATTCCATTTATCGGGCAAGCTGCGAAACTGAAATTTTGGGGGGATATTTCCCACTCTTATATGGCCTTAATCCAGCTTGGCGGTAAAATTTCCCGTTCGAGTCATGATAAATGTTCAATTTTATCGCAAAATCACTTTTGTCTCAGCCAGCGCCCTTTCCGCCCCCTTTCCTCTCTACTATGCAGCAAAAGGCCAAAACACAGTCAATAGGAGTCTACAACGAGGCGCAAAAACGCATGATCACACCGGCAAGCCTGGTGTGTTCCAGCCTGAATCATATACATTACAATTAATAGCTCTAAAATTTGAGTATCTTTGGCTTATTTACACTTCATCTTTTAACAGCTACTTTGACGTGCACGTGATTGGAATATCAGCATTACCTACTTCACTATTGTTTCAGTTTCGACAGTCCTAGTATTTTCAAATGGACAAAAATATACCACTCTTACATGCATTGGCTTCCGCTGCCTTACCATAATAACAATAA